ATTATTTTCTTATTCTTACTGTATAGGCCTGTTCATAAACTAGTATGATGTCACCATCAGTTTTTGGATTAGTCAGTATTTTTTCAACATCACCAAAATTTTAAATTTTGGCGAGTAGGAAGCGTGAAGCCCAGACTATTATTTACCACATGTCATTGAGTTATAGTACTAACAGGAAATTCTACAACACCGCTAATCCTGTACAAGGGCATATTGAGAAAGAAGATTAGGCTTTCTCATAGTGGTGGTCTGTAAATTGTGTATGGTAGTTTTTTTTTTGTTTTTTTTCACATCACAGCGAACTTATATTTGTATAGTATGGCCTAGTGGTTATGACGATCGACGTACATCTAATGGGTTCGAATACCATCTTCGAACATACTCGCCCATTTGTGGGCGATATAATATGATAATCTATTCTACTGTTTATTTAGCGTATCCCAAGAATGGGCAGTGGGTGTTGTTGTCTAGCTGTCTTCCCTCTGGTCTATCATTTCTAAATTAGAGACAGCTAGCGTAGGTTTTGAAGAAAACAACATTGATGCTACTTATTTATTTTTCTGAGTTTGTAAGCAGATAAGCTGTTTTATAACCCTTTATTTTTCTCTCTCATAGATGCTATTGTCTAGAATCACTATAAGGGGTGGGGTGGAATTCCTCGAAACCTGCTGCGGTTTTAAATTAGCAATTGGCGGATTTAATGATAGTTTCGCTTTATTTCTTGCTGAGATTTATAATTTTGATGGTGAGTGTCTTAACAGTTTGTCTGCTAAATAAAACAGAAGAATAAATTAGTAGCATTGATGCAACTTACTTATATTCTGTAGGTTTGAGAGACCATTTGATTAATAAAAGTCTTAAGAGTTATTGTCTGTTTTCTCAATTGTGGATAAAAGTATGTTTTATTGCTTTTTGTTAGGCATACATAAATCTTGGAGAGACTTATTGTAATGTGGGTTATATTAAACTAAAATGAAAATCCTTAAAAACGTGTTTTCACCTCATCCATATATTTATATATATGTGTGTTTGTGTGTGCGCGCAATCCAAATTAATTGGAGCTAGTTATTGAACTTTCCAGGATTCGTCATGGGAATTAATGAACATAAAAGTACAGTTGTAATTATATAACTTTGAAAGAAAAATATCTATTTTAAATGTTCTTTTTATACCCTTCTAAATTTCAATCCGAAATAGACAACTGAAGATGAATGTGTAAACAAATAATAATAATAACACAACTGCAGTTAACGTGATTTTTTCACAAAAGCTAGGCCTATTAGTTTCAAATTCAAAGAACAATCCTCAGTTTTTTCGAGACATACTGACATTGTTGTAGAAGTAATAGGAATATTAAATAATATAGACTTTGAGAGTGATCTGAGAAAATAATGGTTTATAGTTATGTTTACACACACTATACGAGTTTTTTAGCACCAGCAAAAGCGCAAATTCTTTTCCCTCCAATTATGGAGTTCTGCCCGAAGTTTGTTTGTCAACAACTGATTACAGGGATGCAACCTACTGCAGTTTTTGTAATATACACCGTATATATACCAAGTAGTTATAACATGGTAACACCGAAACTTAAATTTAATGTAATAATTTTAAGTTAACTTTGTAATTTAAGTATATTGTATCGTGCAATTTTTTGTATTAAACAGCTGAAATTAACGGAATATGTCATTTCAAGTGTGGTTTATATGTAAAAAAAAAAAAGGTCTATGTTTAGCCCTTATTCAGATCCACTATAAGTTTTTCTTATAGTTATACAAGGAGATTCTTTTATTTTCGTTTCCCGAAATGGATTTCCTTGTCAATAATTTGAGTTTAAATTTTGGTAGCTCCTCACAATCAAAATAATATGTGTTTATTAATAGTAAATATTTTTCTCACTAAAATGTGTAAGTTCAGTGAAGAAAAGAAAGAATCCGTGAATGACGATAAAAATAAAGAAGTGAAAGAAGCAGTAAATATCAATACATGTGCTAAATTTATTTTTGCCAGTCCGAATATGATCTTGTAAGATTGTCTACCAAATAATCCATAAGCAGAATTGATGTAATTTTTAATAAAATTTTTATGAATAAATACAGATAGACTGTGGTGAGTAAAAGACAAACATCAAACACATAGTACTATAGAGGGTGTCTGAAAGGTCTAGAACCATAGATGATTTGCAACTTTCATTAATTTCAGATATATGACTGGTTATGGCACTGTCAAAGCATGAGAAGGTTAAGTTAATCCTGCTGTTAATCCAAACTTGTTTCGAATTACAAGGACAACATGTGGAACACATGCTGTAAAATTTGTTAAAGTGCTTCTCGCTCCAGGCGTTTCAGACACTGTAGTTCTTAGATTACTTTCACAATGTGACAGTTTAAGCTCAAAAACTCGAACACTTTGGAAGAGCAATCCTTTTAAAGGCAAGTTCGCATCAATTCCGGATGGTATTCTGGACTTTTAAATTAACTTTGTAGTGTCTTATACATTCTTCCAAATGAGCAATTTTGCATTTTAATATGAAATATATTAATAACTGTCCACAGTGGTTAGAATGGTTCTTATCATCGTATCTAGATCAACATTAGCAAATGAGTCAAGCTTCTACTAATGCAATGAATATTTGTGCTACATAGGTTTACATATAATATTTCAGATGTGCATCTGTCTACCAAATTTTATCTAGCTGATGACACTGGTAATGAGTGAAAGGCTCCTGAACAACGAGAAGGAGCAGACAAAAGATCTACCTGAAATGCAGTTTTTACAACTTGTGATTAAAAAAGAACCTAAAAATCGATTAAAATGGAGTATACAAAGCAGAAATATTTGATTTTATCATTTTTGTTGGTTTTAAATAAATATTATCCAATACATAAACTTGTGCTTCTTGGTCAACAACACATTATATTTATTTTTTGCGAACTGTTAAGTTGTACAAACTCTGCTTCAGATGAGAATCATTTATAAATGAAAATCATAATTTGATGACTCGATCACATTTGAACTCAAACTCTGAGCAACTAAATTCCAACTTGCAAATAACAATGTATGGTATATTTCACTATAAATGAAGATTTGTTCATTTCTGTAGGTTTGTGTGATGGTTTGATACAAATAGTGGGTATATTTTTGTCTCTTACTGTCCTGCATTAAACCAACGACCCTTTTAAACCATTAACTGTGTGAAAGGTTCATGTAAAAGTCACTGCAATTGCCGAGAAAACATCCATTTGATTATTACATTTTTAGTTTCATGAAACAATAGACTTTACAGCAATCTAACAATTAAGTTGTAGACAATGTATTATGTTTCTTTCAGTTCATATACAGAAAAACTAACAATGGATGTTTTGTAACATTGATTTCATCCCCTGTTTTATTTTTTTATGTTTATGAGATTTTTGTGACTGCTAGTTTTGTCTCTGATTAATAGCGATAACTTGCAGTCTGTGGTGATAACATTGTTATTTTATCAGTGCTCTCTTGTAATAATTTCAGTTACAACTGCTGCCACCTCAGAAATTAAAAATTGTAAATACTAAACTTCATCATCTTCAGTTTTGTCATCATGAAAAAGAAAAGGAAGCATGAAATTAGAACAGTTACAGCTGTTTAATTACCACAGCCTTCACCAACAATTAGAATAGTCTTCTATTGATATTAAGCCTATTTCAGGATTTTTCTGAACTAGATCTTATTGAAGAAATTACTGTAATTTTCATCAAGTGTTTCAGATGCTGCTTTGTTTAAAATGCTTGCTGTTAAGTAGTTGTGGCATTATTTTTTGTATACTGCAACATATTTTGATGGTCTTGATTATGCCTTAAAAAATAAAGACTCGGATGTTCTCTAACATTTTCCTTATCTAAAAGGCATCACATTGTGTACGTTATTAGTTGTAAGAAAAGAACATTGTGCAGATGATTTAATACTTCTGTCTCACGAAATTGTGTGGTACTGTTAACTAAAGTTTATATATGTTTAAAACATGATTTCCATGTTCATTAGGGGACGCGAATGAACCAAAGGTATCTGTGCCCAATATAAAATTTCTTGAGATTGTGAACAATATATTTTTTCAAAAATAACAACAGCTGTTTCTGTTGGAAAGTGTTTGAGGTGAATCCAGCAATAAACAAATTATTGTAATTTTTATGATTTCTGAAATGTGGTATTTATAAGAAATAAAAAATTTATCTTATGCATTTTGTGTGATCTTTATTAAAGAATATAAGTGATTCAAAGTTTCAAAAAGATAAAATACAATTCAATTCTGTGAATCTTACTAGAATGTCATCTGTCCAACAAAACTTTTATATGTAAGAATCTATAAGGTTTTCTAAGTTATTTATGGCATTTATAGAACCATAAGCCACAAATCTGACATATCCTGTCATGGTGATATATCCATGTAGATAACTTGTATGTAATAGTGATTAGTGATAGTTTGATACTTAAGATAAACTTTTAATATATGGATGGGAATATTCTGTATTGTGCTGTTGTCTTTTTTTTTCTTTTTTTTCTTTCTTTTGCAGAACAGAGATGGTTTGTTAAAGTTTTACAAATTTATATTGCATACAGATATTTGTTTTACATTAACCTCCAATCAGAGTAAGCTATTTTCTTAGATACCATTACCAACTGATCACTAGAATCTACTAGTATATATGTATTTCTGGCTCTGAATTTTCTCCTTGACAGCATTTTTTTTATATTGCAATCATATGCATTTTTCTATTCAGTATTGTTTGTCCAGTGTCTTGTTAGTAATATACTGTTCTGTGTCAGATAGTTTTCAAACAGAAAAGTAAGGTGTGTTCTGATTGGTGATATTTTGTTCCAGGGAAATTAGTGGATTAATATTTATTCTCTGTGGGATATGTTATGCCGAGGTTTGGATGTTATACTGCATGTTTTACATTGTTTCTAATTATTATGTTTAACACTTGAAATCTCGGTTATTTCAAGATAATTTTATTTTCCTGCAGTACAAGTGTGAGTGCTACTGGCCAAGTGATGGTGAGAAGAAACAAGCAGGAAACATTACAATTGAATTGGTAAGTTGACCACTAAGGTTTAAGTTGTTGAAATAATGGAATGTGTTTTTACAAAAAAAAATAGTCTTCTGCATGTCTGTTTTTTTTCCCCAGTATCTCACTTTTTCCTAACTTTTGAGGTAGGTAACAATATGACAAACATTAAACTTCATTTGAAGTTGAAGAAATGCTGATATGAAAGTATAAGAATCACTAACTTTAGATTAACCTGTCTTGACACTGAAATTTAATACATTATTCAGCTTTTAAACAAATCTAGACAGGTAGATGTTTGAGTTTTGGTACTAACTGGTAAGTCACTCATGACGTGATATCCTTACCATGTTATAATTTCTAAGATGGCAGCCAGTACAGTTTGCAAACATGTTATCCTGATTATATTTTCTCTGTTAATTACTTTTGAAATAGTTTCAGTAAAATACTGATTGCATAGCTAGTTTCATTAGGTTTTAACCTTAATCAGTTTATCAAGAGAGACTTTTATTCACAGACCTTTCATCTTTACTCTTTGAAACAATTTTAAACACTGTCCAATGTATCTCTATGCCACATTCATGAGTAGCATGATCTCGTATGCTAGATTTATTTCCCATCTTCTTAGATACGTTAGTACATAACATAATGAAGCAGATTTGAAAGTGTATTATAAAAAGACTTTACTGATTTGTATTTCAACTTTACCAGTTTTTTTTCATTCCTATTTATGAAAAAAATCTATAGAAATATAATAGAACTGTCTATTGTCTGTCCATGTAACTACTTTGTAGGATGTGGATGGATCTTCACCAGAATTGCTATGAAGGCTCATTAAGTCCATGCAGAGTATATACAAATTTTGTTTTGCATTTTGCTGTTTATATGGGCATTTTTATCACTACTTTGCTCCTGTAGATGAATCTTCACCAGTAAGTTTCTGGGTATCCAGCTTCACCGTGTTAGGTGAGAGCCGGTTACTTGTCAGTGTCTGGGTATCCAGCTTCACCGTGTTAGGTGAGAGCAGGTTACTTGTCAGTGTCTGGGTATCCAGCTTCACCGTGTTAGGTGAGAGCAGGTTACTTGTCAGTGTCTGGGTATCCAGCTTC